CATAGACATTCATATTGTATGCTTGCTTTATTGTTGATGTATTTTTTACTTGTTAATAATTGTTTACTTTCTTTACTTACACTTTTTTCTCTTTTTCATCATACTTTGTTTCCTTCCTGTTTTAAATCAAAAACAACGATCCCCCCTTAAACTCACCCCCATGGCACTTGTCAAGTCTCTAACAGCTTATTCACTTGCTTAACTCCTTCATTTGGTTTTAATTCTATTCGCTTTTCCAATTTTATCTTCTTGGTGTTCTTTTCTTCTTTGCCCCTTTTCTATTCATTAGCTTCCACTATTTTTCGACTTGCTCTGTTTATGAAATCTGTAAGCACTTGCTATTGTTTTCCAGTGTTTTTCATCCTGGTTCCAATAGCTGTTCTTTTGCTCTCTTTTCTTGAAGAAGAAGCTTTGTTTTTCTTTATCTTGTAGTAACTTTTTTTTCTTCAGTTTTATTGACATTATTCATATGCTAATTTTTACTTAGATAAAAAACGTCTGTTATTTTGTTTTGAAATGTGTGATCCTTTTTTGTTCACATTTGCGACAACAATTTCGGACGAAAATATTTTATTTACAGTTGAGATATTTTTTGAATAACAAATAAATATTCCTAGGATTAAAGAAGACGTGCTATTAATGTCGGCTGGTTTTAAGTTATCTCATGTAACTAACACTGAAATATGAAAGTTAAATTCTCACTGGTTTGTATAAAAATTGCAAAAGTCCACATTAAAATGTAAAGTTCCTTAACAAAATCACACTGCTCAAAATGAAAATTATAGAACGGGATAAATTTCAGCGAACACGTAGATAATAAATATAAAACCATTGGTTTAGATTTACTCTCATATTACTTTAAATTTTACTTTGTTTTTATCAAGTGATTAACGATTAGTTTTAAAAAGCTTTGTTATTTTCTTATTGTTAATATTATCTCCTGTATTTTTTGTGTCTGCAAATTGGTTTCATATTAATTAAATATGTAGTAAACAAAATTTACTAAAGCAAAATAACAATATCGAAAATCAATTGTGAAACCCTGTAGCATTTGTATATAGAGGTTAGAGTCGCTTAAACAGGGAGCAACGTGACGTTACATCCATAACAATTTTTTTTGTTAAAATATTTAAACTCAAGACATGTAATATCTAAATGGCGTGGTTAGTTAAAACAGTATTTAAAAAAGTTGGTCCAAGTTTATTTAGACAGAACTTTCCTCGCTCTTGAAGCACAGTAAAACATACCCAGCGTTTTGGCAAAATTTTGATGGCGTATTCTCAAAATTTTGGGAAAATAGGGTGAACCGTTCTTGGTTGAATTAATAAAAAAAAAATTGAGAATGTTCGGGAATCGAATTCGAACCTCTGCCTTTATTTGCGAAACTAACATTCTTTCAGTAGTTCTACGGAATCGGCTTATCCGAGTTCGTATTTATGTATCTAGAGAAGAAGAAGAATTCAACAGTAAAAATTATAGTAATAATATTAAACAAAATCAAGGTGGATTCATGGGCCACAACGACAGGCGTACATTATCGTAAAAATTTTAAATGACCTTTATTACACGACGTCATCAAATTATTATTGATTGGGTGATTCGACAAACTTTAGTCTACACGATACTCTTAACATATCTACTTATAAAATTTGGCTACAGTCGCAGTCGGGAGATCTATTTTTTCATACTCTAGTGATCATGAAACATCAAGAAAACATGAAAGAAGTCATTCGTCCGATGGACCCTATTACAATACTTCTTTAGCTCGAGAAGTAAAAACTCAATCAATTAAAAAAAATTTTGTCCAGTTGTGTACTATACCGTGTCTCTAGAAAATGGCGGATTAATTTTTCGCTACACTCTTAACAATCAACTGATGAGTCTGGGAAAAATACTAAAAAAATTCCTTCTCACATTTTGGTGGAGTTATAATGATTTTAAAATTGGTTCTTTTGCTACGTTTAACAACTGAACAACACATTCATTATCACATTGACTAATAATAAATCTTTTAGTTAATATTTCTCTGGCCCTTGACAATGTTTAGTTACCATTTCAGTTCGTATGTAGTTAAAATATGGTTGTCTTGTTTTTGTAATAATTTGATAAAATTCCATTTGACAACAATGTTTGCCTGAAGCGAAGGTACAAATCAACAAAAATCGAATAAGCAGTTAAAAATGTTTGACGTATCAAAAATTATCAAAGTTTTCAAAACCCTACGTTTAAAATATGTTCGCACTTAATTTTAGGTCCCCTGGTGTTTTATTTTCGGATAAATTTAGCTTTTACTTAGTGTTTTATTTTTAATGAATTTTAAAAAAAGTCTTGAGTGCCGCAGTGTTTTTTTTTTTAATTTGGGAGACTCTTAGGTACCCATGGTGTATTATTTTGGGAGCCCATCGAAATTTTTTTGTAAATTATTTAAAACAATTTTGGGAGACTTTGGTGTTCTATTCCTGACCTGTTTTTGAGATAATTTTTGGAACCCGTGTTTTTTTTTTTTTAATTTAAAACAATCTCGAGGTTCTAGGTATTCCTGTTTGGAAAGAATTTGAAAGTGCTTTGAAGCCTCTAGTGCCTTTTCTTATAATAATTTAATTAAATTTCTTAGAGAATATGTGATTTGCCAAAATCAGTCTTAACAGGTACTAGCCGCATCCACCCGCCCTCTCTTTCCTTGGAGGGTATGTCATTTGCTAAAATCGGCCTTATTTTAGCAGGTACTAGCCCCCGCCCACTTACCCCCTCTTTTCTTAGAGAGTATGTCATTGGCCAAAATCAGTCTTATTTTAGCAGGTACTACCCCGCCCATTAGCCCTCTCTTTTCTTAGAAGGTATGTCATCGCCAAAATCAGTTTCATCTTATAAGGTACTAGCCCCGCCCATTCACCCTCTCTTTTCTTAGGGGGTATGTCATTTACCAAATTCAGTTTTATCTTAGCAGATACTAGCCTCGCCCACCCACGCTCACTTTTCTTAGACGGTACCTCATTTGCCAAAATGAGTCTTATCTTGACAGCTACCAGAATCACTTTTATCTTAGCAAGTAGTGATGTGATGACTAACTTCTACAAAAAATGATCAAAATTTGAATGAGGAATTTTGAACATCTTCTCTAGTGTTTAGTTGGTTATTCTTTAATGGATTTTACTTTTGTTGTTTTTTTTTATAATTTATAAATGTCTTATTAAATGTTTTTTTTCTTGTATTATTTATTAATGAAGACCAACAGTTTGTTTTATTAATTATAATGCACTATGATTAATGGCTATTGGTTGTTATGGTTATTGTCCTAAAAAAATAAAAGGTGGATTTCAGTCACCATCGTTCCTAAGAAATCAGAAAGTAAGCCGAAGGTATTTACGCATTAGGTGCGTGCAGTGTTGCCAAATTTATTTTTATAAAATTATGGTTTTTTCGTAATCTACATTATAAATATTTTTTTTATATTTTTTTTTGGGACTCCCAAAACCCCCACACATAACGTACTGAAGAGTAATCCCCCATTTTCCAGACACCCGGTATAGCATATATCTTAAGTTGTCAAAAAGAAAGTGTTTCTTTCACGATTTACAAAAATTTTGGAAACTGTATTAAATAATAAATTCTGCCGTCAAAAGGTAAGTATACATTAGGGAAAACTAAAAAAAATTGATTTCACACTGGTGAGTGTGACAGAGCCGAACCCTTAAAAACATTTTTTTAACATGATCAGCAAAATGTAAAATTAGTGTTTAAGGTACTTTCCAAAATATAGTCTGTTTGTTCTTACTCTGGATGAACATAAAAATTGCAATTTAATATAGTGGCACCTCGGAAGAACAAATTCTGACTCTGACATCCCGACTCGGATAAATATTTCTCCTGGGTAAAAACTAAAATTGCTAGAAATCAAACATAATTTTACACTTCTGTTTTCTATGTATTCCTACTATCTTCTACAGAGGTTGAAATTGTAGTTTACTACCATTTTAACAGCACTTATCTATAATTTATTTATGCGGAAAGTAATGGTAAGGCTACTATATTGACTTATAGATAAAATATAGTAGTATCATTTGAAAAATGGAGTTAATTATGTGTAGTAATTAGAAAGTTAATAACAAGGGTGCTAACGTATGACTTTTTCGAAAAAAAAAAACTGGATCATCAGAGAAGAATCTCCGTTCGACACTGGGACACCCTGTACATATTTTAGCGATAATAGTGCATCTTACGCATCAGTAGGAACTTCCCCACATGTCGAGGAAGGTCTTGGTCAAGCACAATTAATAACACATCGTTAATATCTAAGAATTTAGCATTAATCGGACTTGACAATGACCATCAAAATCTTTTTTGTTTACAAATAAAATCACCAATTATCTCAGTGGACGACTTGCTTTGATCACCAAAAATATCGCAGAGGTCAATTTACCTATTCTTAATCTTTCAAAATGATCGTTCTGGCATGGTCACGACCTTTTCTATCTACCCAGAAAAATTAAAATCCAGCAGTCAGGTGATGGCTTCCATAAAATTTGCTGAGTTTATATTAATGATAATATTGATACAGGATGCTAATGGACGACTGTGTACACAATAAATTCAACGAGAATAAGCAGGTGCTTCACCACGCGAAATATGTTAATTCAAGACAAGGTATGTTTATTTTGTACCATAATTTAATTTGATTTAATTATGTGGTCTGCTACGCACTTTTGCACAAGTCATGAAACAAGTGGGATGATAATTGACATGGCTGTAATTGCGTTGCGTCTAGCGATAAGTGACCGATAATTATCTGTGCATTGTTTAAAAATTTTCATAATCAGAAATGTAGCAGATCCTGTTGCAAACCGAAAAGAAACAAAATAACATAAATATGTTTAGTTAAATGACTGAAAAACGATCATTTCTAAGTTGTCGAAATGCGAAAGTGACGCAACTACAATAAAAATTTCATTTTTTATATACGTGCGTCTGATTTGAAGTACCGTGACACAACATTTTGTGTTTTCGTCAGGAGGTTACTTTAAAGTGATTTGTTTATGAATTTTCTGTCGTTATACATGAGAGTTATGTGGAACGAAGGTGCTTACCTGCTGTGTAATAGCAAGCCTGTAAAAAAAATATTAATTAGTTTCAAAATAATAGTCACCCATTAACGACATTGCCTTGTCTATATGTGGCTCAACCTATATGGTAGAGGAAGTTCAGCAATGACCTTTGTTTTGGCGTAACGACCTCGACCTTTTGGGTGGATGATGTATTCTTATCAATACTAAAAGGTTCACGCAATTATAGCTAAAAGGAGCCGAAACACCCCCGGTTGCATGTCAGTTTTCATTCGTGATGGCTAATTAAAGAACACATTTTTAGGCGAGTCTGCATGTAATATAATTAATGGCAATGACAACAGAGTGTAATGTAGTGTGGTGGCACCTTAACATTGTTTGTTGAATGACAAAAACACAATTATCTCTTAAATATGTAATAAACAAGTTAATCCGAAGTCATTGTCCTAAATTGTGACATGTTAATATCCAACTTAAACAGTGCTCATTGTCAAAGAAGAGTGCACCAGAGACAATTGGCGTTGCAGATTATTATTGTCATTAGCCTAGAGCTTTGACTCCTGTGAGAAATCCGAATAAATTGAACTGAAGCGACGTTGGCGTGCTTGTGAGAGCATGGAAAGTCCCTCGAGTTCAAAAAGAGGGGCGGAAAATCACGGGTGCAGTCAGTGATAAGTTGCTATGCGGGTAATGTTATGCAATTTACAATGCTGATCATAAAAATCCCAGCAGGTTAACTATAAAAAAAAATTATTGGCTTATGCTTGTGTTAATATTAATGCTTACTACGTAATGGTTTTTAAACTGGATTGGTTGCAACTTCTTCCAAGAACTTGTCGTGTTAGTCTTCCAAATTAAAAACTTGTTACATAATTCTCGGTATTATATCAACTAACACTAAAGTTATGATAATTTATGAAAAGCGGATGCAAATTTTTCCGAAAACTGCGAAACTACACAATTAATAAATCATCATTTCGTATTTTATAATTCTTAAGTAAGACATCATTGATGGAAAGTTTGCAGTAATTGTCAGCAACAACGTCAAACTAAAACTTTTTTGCATGGACCTTGATGGGTGAGGATTTTCTAGCGAAAGGATGACGTCAATTAAGCAGTACAAAAATCCAGTTCAAAGTACAGGGGGCGACCTTTGGACAGCCATTCCATAGAAGAAATATCTCAGTATCTGAAAGAAAGAATAATACGAATCACCATCGCTTACGTCAGCAGAGGTTCAATTATGAGAACACAACATTATAATGATAAACTACACTCGTTGCACACACCCACGAGTTCAATTCAAGTTTCAAGAAATGAGAATATTGCTGCGAATATAACATTGACACGAAACTACTCGAAACTGGCTTCGAATTCATTTTCTAGTGGTAATTAGCTCTTAATTGATGTGATTTATTTCAAACCTAATTTAACTAGGTGTATTATTAAATGTTACGTGACTGTCAGAGCAATAAAATGAGTTTTTTTTTTATATTAACGTTCAATAAAAAAACTGCAGTATTTCAAAATCTTTTACAAGACCCCATTTTGGAAGACATTCCAAAGGGTTAGTTAGGTTCATATATTTTTTTTTTATTCAGAATATCTAAACATTGTTTATTTTTAAAGTATGATAATTGTGTTTCGATTTTATACTGTCGATCTGGTACGTTGATTTAAATACAGGGTGATTCGGCATAAACGACGAATGTAATTTGTGGTTAACAGCAACCCGGAATACATTATTCATTTATTCCTTGATTCACACTAGAATTTCAAAAATATCACAAATCCACGAAGTCTGTGGTTTTAAAAGTGTCAATACAAAGTGCCACTGTCACGCATTACATTTAAAATAAAAATTGATGGAAATAATTTTCTGAAAATGCGTTTCACGAATCCATCGTGGATTTTCTTGTCCATTGTTGGAAAATTTGGTCTCATCACTAAATAAAATGTTCCCTAATAAAATCGCAAAATGCTAATCTTCGTGGAAAGTCAGTATCTCCTAGGTCATGAACTAATTGCATATGATACGAGTGGAACTTATACATAATAACATTCGAAAAACATAAGATTAACTTATGTCAATTTTTCTCTCAATTGTCCGTTGCGAAATGTGAGGGTTTTCTAAAAGAGTCTCCAAAACTCGTTGTCCAAATGTGTATCAATTAAAACACTATTTAAAGTCTTTTGAAAATTTTATCTGTTGGATGTCTATGTTCTGGATATCTCTGGGAGTACAAATTTGCTGCATTTTTTGACACTCCATAAATTAAGATCATACCTGTTTTTCCGTGTTTGTAAACGAATATCTTGGCACTTTTGCAAATAATTTTCAGCTGCTCAGAATTGACAGTGACATAAGTATGCAAACTTTGATTCATGATATATTTTAAATTCTACTTCATGAATCAAGGAACAGAAGAAACATTTATTTTGGGATGCCCATGCCTATCCGGACAGGTCAAATTCGTCATTTATGCTGTGTTGTCACCGACAAATGTTAAAATTATTTATCAAAAGCTTCATTACAATCTGTAGAAAACAAATTGAAAGTTAATGCGTTATTAAGACGTGGTCTTGATAATTCATATTGCTGGATTGAATCACATGAGCAGTTAATCACATGATTAAGTTACAACAGTCTTATAAACCGCGTTTAAGTAAAATATAATACCAAAACGACAATAAATTAAGTTCGAAACCTAAAATAGTAATTATATACTAAGGGAGAGAAAACAATTTTTATAGCCGAGCTGAATTATACCCGAGACGCGTAGCGTCGAGGGTAATAATGAAAGCGAGGCTATAAAATGGTTCTCTCCCGTGGTTTATATATTATTTTTTTCAGTACTAGCACATTTGTTTAACTTTTCTTTAATGACAATGTATAAAAGTCGGAACGAATTTAAGATATCCATGAAAATCAAATAGCCTGTGAAAACAAATGAATAAAAATGACATTAAACCAAAAATATTAATAAAGAGCAAAATGTCGACTAGCGACGAAGATACTAGTGTGTGCACCCCGCCAGAAATCCGAAAAGAAGCAAGTAACGTGCAGTGTGATCAATTACTGCCACAAAAATCAAAAGAGTTCTACTTAAAAGTTTACGCACAATTCAAAGATTGGTGCAAAATTAAAAAAGTGGCCAAAGTGTCAGAAAATGTCCTTCTTGTTTATATGGAAGAAAAAGCTAAAAACAAAAAAGCTTCCAGTCTATGGGCCACATTTTCTATGTTAAAACAAACTCTTAAATTAAAAGAAAATGTGGATATTTCAAAATATTATAAAGTAATTGCTTTTCTCAAACGCAAAAATGATTCCTACACACCCAAAAAGGCGGCTGTTTTTGAGAAGCATCAAATCACAAAATTTATTTTAGAAGCACCTGATGAAATTTTTCTTTCGTCTAAGGTAATTCTGTTAATTGACAATGAGATTTTAAAAAACGCCAAATTACATTTGCTTCCAGGTTATTCTCATTATAGGAATTGCAGGAGCTTGTCGGACAGATGAGCTCTGCAACATGAAAATGACAGATGTAGATACACGAGAGGATATGATAGTCATAAATATCCCTCAAACAAAAACAAAATCTTCTCGAAAATTTGTCATTATGGAGCCCACCTGGATTGATGTGGTTAAAAAATACTTGACAAAAAGGCCGTCTCCTGATATGGCAAGGCTTTTCATTGGGTTTAGAGGTGGAAAACCGACTAGACAAAACATGGGACATAATACGATAAGCAAGACACCTTATAAAATAGCTCAATACCTACAACTGCCAAATGTCGACGAATTTACTGGCCATACATTGAGGCGAACATCAGCGACTATTTTGGCTGATATGGGTGGGGACATATTATCACTCAAACGCCATGGGGGCTGGAAAAGCTCAATGGTTGCTGAAGGGTATGTTGAGGAGTCTCTCACTGACAAAAGAAGAATTGCAAATATAATTCAGGGAACACCTCATCACATTAACCTACCTGCTCCTAGCTCTTCCAATATTTTATGTGAGAGGAGTGAAGAAGTGTGTAGTGAAATGCCATCTACTTCCACACATGCTGCTACAAACAGTGAAATAACTATACCGGTGGAGAACTTTACCTCCAATCGCAATACATCGGGAATCAATATGACGTGCCACAACTGCACAATTAACTATTATTTCAAATAATTATAGTTGAGGTGTTAATCTTTAGTTACTTTGTTGTTAATACTTATTATTCTCAATTTTTTAATAAACATTTGTCTTTCGAATAACACAATATTATTTCTACATTAACATTTTCATTATTTATTATAAAAATACTACTTCTTAACAGATTACACAAATTAGAGGTTAAAAATGTCGCGTGCTCGTAAGAATAACTGCAATAGATTTTTCATGATTGCTCTGGTGGCATTCTTGCTGGAGTGTGGTCCAGGCGGCAAATTTAAGATTTCGCAAGAAATTTCAGCTTCCCAGTTCTACATCATCTGTCATTAATAAACAATGTATAAAATGTGGCAGCTTAATGTCAAGTAAACACCTCAACTACGACATTCTAAGGTAACCATGGCAATACTGTCAATTATTTTCATTATCTACTAGTAGGAGAGAAAAATCCATTATTGGGTAAGGTGGAGAACAGTAATTTCTCAAGCATCAAACACGATATATAATGAAGTCTTCTGAGGCTAGTAGTGAAAAAAAGACTTTAATTATTATGTCAGTATTTATAAAACGTGATCACTTCATTAACGAACAATGCAAAAACTGCAATGCGCTTACATTACTTAAGTTTTCCATTTGCTACATACACTGGGAAAAGAAACTCTAGATCAAATGATAGATATTTCAAGAATGGCTGAAAATCTCACATATTTTTAAAACGATTGTACTTATTTTATTATTTTTTTTTGTGTATATATGACTTAATTATAAAAATGCACACATAGACCAGACAAAAGAGAAACTTGTCTGTGAATTCTTTCTTAGATTAACGTAAGTCGGTGCTAGAAGTTACGGTGCCATCGAAATTTCACTTGATTAAAACAATCTCTGGTTTAAATGTCGCACGTTGTTGACACAATGTATTTTAATTGTCAACGTTTATCTTATCAGTAACCATCATAGACTATTTCAGACTAGGATGACTTTGATTGGAATCACCGATACTGTGATCACATTATCACGTTCTTATTTTAGCCGTTGTACTAAAGCTCTAGTTAGATTTGTTTGTTAATCTGCTTCAGAGATCTAGGAGGAATTAATTTATATATAACGTTCTAATTTGGATGCCTAGGGGAACACTCAAGGCATATTCATGAACCACAAATGTAAGAGTATATTATTTTAAAAAATTTAAATAATGTTCATCAACCTAATGTACAAATTTTTGAGGAGATATCATCAACTTACTTATTTATGAGTGGGGATAATTAGACAAATTTTGATTAGCCTTTTACCGTCTATACAATATTAGTAGTTTCGAATATTATTCCGTCAAATACAAATCGGCACAGACGGGATATGACAGACCACAGACAGACAAACAGACGAAAACGTTTTTCCTACTCAGGGGTCATGAAACGTCGAGAAAACATGAAAATAACCATACAAAAAAAAATGATTTGAACTATAACAAGATAACATGTGCTTTACCTGTGCTCCATAATTTTGTTTCATGATATTAGGAATTAGTCTAAAAAATAAATTTTTCAAAATCAAATTTTACAGTTTATTTAATTGTAAAATACTACGAGTATGACTTTAGTTTTTTCATTTTGCTTATAAAGAATTTCTCAAAAGAAACGAATAGGGTTCATGTGTAAAACAAAAGAGTGGCAGACAGTTTTTTTCTGCGTCACATTGTTTGTATATACATAGTGTTTAAAAATAATTATATAGTTCATGCATAGATGCTATAAACCCGTAAAAATAGTACAGTAGCAGAAATGTATTTTTCTACAACTGTCAAAAAAACTTGACATTTTTTGACGGATGTCCAAGCGTGAAGTACCAGATTTTTTATGGTTAAATATTGGATACCGTTGCTCCTGGCACGGTGAAAAAAAGTCTTTTGCGCATGCTGAAATTTATTTTGTTAAAATCACTTAAAAACAACAAAATAGAAGAAAGTCTTTAATTAATAAAAAATCAAACAAAACAAAAAATTGTTGTACATTGTTATAAT